CCGTTGGCGCTAGCGCTATTTGAAGCAAATCTGGAAGCTCCAAGCAAAATTCAAAAGTTGTCATCACGAGGAATCGATCCCTGGAACATTTCCACGACCACGCGATCCATTCACTCGTGAGTTCCTATAACATGAAGGAACCCCTTTTTGAAAAGGCGCTCCACACCCTGAAAGACCTCCTTCGTTGTTTGAAGCAGCTCAAACGGAAACATAGCTGTACCCAAGGCAAGTATGCCCAGTAGAATACATAAGCTGTAGCCAACGCAAGTATGGCCCTAGTAGCGAGGAAAGACCAAGTTATTTGCAGCAGCCTAAGGGATCGTTCTGAAGCGGGAAGCGCAAGCGCACCTTCAAAGTCCTACTGCATGAAAAAGTGGCTCACGCACCTCCTCCCCCCATCTCTGAACTGCCCTCATTCCACCGGCTCACGTACATCCATTTGACGAGAGATGCGGGTAGGGACTGTCTCCACGTTTGTGCTCTATCATTCACAGAAGGACACGGAGGCAGTGCTGCAAGTAGTACCGGACCACAAAGGTATTTTTCAGCAAGGTCCCACACATAGTTCTTCCCACACTCGAGCTTCGTCCGCTTCGACTGATTGCAGAGGTGTGATGGGTGCTGTTGTCCCTATTGCTTTCTCAGTCAAAGAAGGATTTCGTAAAAACCTGCTCTATCCTGTGGTGTGTGTCTAACTATCAGCTATATTAACGCAAAACAAGAGTGTCGCTGGCTTCCGGAATGAACAGCATCCAAGTACGCCACCTTATAGTTAGTCACAAGTTCGAAGCAAAGTGGTCAATCTAGTCTGTGCCTTGGAACTAGAGCTGGAAAGCTGGAACAACCTCCATTTCCCGAGATAGGGCGACCTTCTTTTGATTTTTCTTAATTGTGGGACCGCATGAGTAGGCCTCTAATTGCTAAACAAAAATTTTGTACGCCGTTCTGTAAAGGAATGTCCCGAGATTAAAGCGGTGTGGTTCCTAAAATAGCATTGGGGCGAAGTGGGCCTCCACTGAAGAGGAAAGCTAAGTAGTCGGGACGGCTTAGAGTAAGAGCTTGCTCACCTCCGTAATGCGGCTATGCTAAGCCAATGAGAGACTGAGCTTGGAGAGGAGAGTATGAGGTGAGGGAGCGCAACAGATGAGAGGGCGTCAGACAGCAGCCGACTGGCGGACGGGAGCATTTGCAAGCGCGCTTGCAGCTACAGTTGCAAGACGCCTGCCGCTTGTCGGACAACAAAAGGCGATGCAGCGCTGTGCTAAGTGCGCTTGCCCTTCAGTGGCTATCTACAAAACGAAGAAATCATCCCTGCCTGGGTGTCTCTTTGAAAGCACTCCTTTTGGGATAGCTCCAACATGTTACTGCGCTTGAAAGTAATAATGGCGACGTCAATTAGTTGGGGAGGTATCAAGAGTCGAAAGAGACCACCGAAAGCTCACTAAAGAAGTCATAATTTTGTAGTAGCGAGTGGCGCTGTTCTCCACAAGCAGGATGAAGAAGGCAAATTCCGGCTGGGATGCCGCTGAGCCAAGTATGCCCTTTATCACTTTGGCCTCTGCCGATTTGTACAACTCGTCCGGAAATGCGACAGGCGGCAACTTGAATGTAGGTTTTCAAGGGTCTACTCATCTAGTTTTGGGATGCGCTACGCATTCTACTTCTAATCTGACTCGCCAGAGGCGATATGAAATGCGATTCGCCTATTTTAATGACTTGCGGAAGCCAGCCGATGTATGAGACAGATTTTATACTTCCAGAAAATTCTGGTATCGTTAGCCGACCTCATGGGAGGCTTGGTTGACCCGGACAACTCAAGGCACAGGATTTGAACATAGAACCGTACGTTAAGAACCGACCTCTGCTCCAGACAAGTAATTCATGGTAAAATTGGCCTTACTTCAGCTTATAAACAATTTAAGTTCTGGGTGAGTTGTAAAGGATAAAAAAGGATAAAGCATTTGCCGTTGATCAATCCCTTTTTGGGATGCGGCACGCATTCTACTTCCATTTGTACATTCGTAGTGGCGTTTGAATGCGATGTGGCCTATACAATGACTTGCGGGGGCCAGCCGATGTCAAGTCAGTGTTTTTATCCTCCCAGACAAGTCTGGTACCAATTAACCGACCCCGGAGGGATGGAAGGCTTGGTTGGCCCGGGCGACTCACGACCCAGGATTTGATCCCCGGACCGCTCGCGTGGTAAGCGTGCCACTTGCCACTACACCACTTCCGCCCGACTCATGGTACTGCCAAGCAATGAGCTAATTCCTCAGCGCAAGTTCCTATAGTATTAGAAAAATACCAGAAGATAGTAAAATACTGCTGCATTTCTCAAGTGCGGCTGGCTCCACGCCAAGTCCGCAGCCCGCCTAATCAGACTCCGAGATATGGAGTTGTATAGACGTTTGCAAGAGAACAAGGAGAAGAGCCAAGCAGAGAGATGCGATCCAAAAGGTGGAGTATTGAAAGTTAGTTCCCTAGACCGCCCCAGCACCGCTGCCGTCAACCAGCTGAGGTCATCAGCTCGGTAAGAGGGTGTTGTACTGCAACGGTCTTCTGTGAAAGCAGGAGTTTAATTCGTTGAGGTAGCAGTAGAATCAACGACGAAGGCAAGCCTCACGTACAAAAAAACAGGGCATGCGTTCTATGCATCAACTAAGCTTCCAAAGATTGCTTTCCTCGTAAATCTGTAAGGGATGGTTTGGTTGATCAACTAAGACTAGCTCTCAGGTAATGACGCCCATTAAGTCCTAATACGACAAGTTCACTCAGCCATACTTTCGCTTTTACTTTGGCAACCTGTTTGCTAGCAGGTGAAAAAAGACTCGAAGCCGAAGAAGTTTTACGGATTCCACCCAAACGCCACCACAATTATAAATTGAAAACGAGATGCGTGGGCCGTCACCCGAAGAGGCTGGTTGCGTTGAAACTTTGTATCCTATAAATTGCACCCTCACCTACTAATGTTTACAGAATGAGTAGGGGGAGCGAAAAGTTCACCAGCACCACGGACTAGAGCGGCTGCTCGTGACGCCACAGCGACGTCATCCACACGCGTTCGCATCCACGTCGCCGGTGAGCGTTTCCATGGTGCCGAAAATAAGATTGCGATGATGATGTGCTTATTTTGTACACCTCACCATCGCTCATCTAGAAGATATACAAGCCTTCAAGAAGAAAATCCAACCACCAACCGACCAGTCTCTGCAGTTTCAGGTTAAAGGTAAAATTACGATGGTAAAGTTAGCTCATTGGAAATAAGGGTAGAGGTGGTCAGTGGAGCAAGGGTGAAGAAGAAACCATTGAAATAACTCGAAACCCGAGAAATGGGACCCCTTCATTGCCCGTTGATTTTCCGTGTTGATGCGACTCTCATCTTTGTGCCCTTCCTACGCTCTTCTGCTATCTGATCACTAGCCACGTGTAGACCTGCGGCGAGTGGTTAGATAAAGATGGGCGTACCCCGCCCAACCGCGCCAAGAGTGAGCCATGCTAGATTGCCGAGGTCAAATCTTTCGCTGCCAATTGCGCGTCGGTCAGCACCCTCAGGAGGTCCGCCTGTCCCAACTATGCAATTTTCCCCTTCTTTGCCCTTCGTTCTTATCGTGAATTCCTCCTTTAAAGCAACAACCCCAGATCAGGTGAAAGGCAACAGCGGTCGACGGTGAAGTTGTGGGTGCAGACTTCACTGGAAATTAAAATAGAAACGGCGCAATGTGGCTCGGGGAGGGGCCAGCCGCCGCGCGCGGCGTTGCGGCAACAGGAAATTCGTGAGCCAGGGGGAATGTAGCCAATTCAGGGGGGGGGGGGGTGAGGGCAGTCACTTAGCATGCGTGAGAAGCTGGAATGTTCGAGTTACACTACGTCGCTGAGCCGCGCGCGGCGGGCCACATTAGCGCCAAAGAAGCAATGCCAAACCGCCGACGAAGCTCCTGAAAGACTCCCGCCCCCGTTCCTGTAAGATGAGGAGGCGCACGCGGGACGAGCTTAACTAAAAAACTTTTGCTGCATTACAGCTGCATAACCCGCGGACTTCAATCAGCGCGGACTAAGTGTTGCAGTCATGGGCATGCGCAGCGTATCTCGTCCATTACTCACATTAGCCGTCATTAGCCTCACTTCAAAGCCCCAGCGCCATTGTGACCACACTTTGAGCCGCGACAATGGCGCAACTGTGACACACGCGGACTACTCGGTACTATCCACAGAATAGACTGTTGACACAACCTCATCTGGGATTGCCTGCTTTAACGAATGGGGAGAAACCGCAACTCCACATACTTTTTTTCGTCCTGATGTTCTTCCAAAGCTATTCCGGTACTTCACCTTTAACGCCAAACCACATAGAAGATAAATAAAACTTTGTTCCAATAGAAGAATATGCAACATACAGGCAAGGCAAGTGAACGCACAGTTTTTCACAATCGATCTGGGAAAGGAACGGTGTAAAAGAGAGGAGGAACGACTGAAAAACCTGGTATAAAACATACCAAATAAATAGATATATATAAATGTAAAACGTATACGTATACGTATAGTAATAGTGACTAATAGCCGCTTGTATCTGCGCATCTCTCTATGAGCAAACTGTGCTACGAGTATAATACTTTAAAACTCATGGAATCATGGCAGCAACAACCAAGTGTTTAGTCGGGGGTAAATCCTACATTACCATCACATTACGGTAATCGGCAAATTCTGGGTAAAATATTCTATGCGAATACGTAAATTCGCGTATATTGTGGAATGCTTACACACATAGCGAACTCGACGGAGCTTATACAAATTCCAAAATTGCCAAACAATTACATCATGGAACTTAACTAGTTTCCCGAAAGAGAACGATCGAAGAAAGGGTTCGGCACAGAAGTGATGCGGTACGTATTCAAAGCCATCAAACAGAGTCGACATGAAGCAAATTCTATAAGAGTTTCTCATGCGAATCAAAAACAGAACAGCTCTCAACTGCTGCTGCTGCTGCTGCTGCTCGGTCTCTGTCAGTTTTGATCCAGCCCACTTTTTCTGATGTCGTGCAACACCTCTTCCGGAATGGTGTGCGTCTTCGTCGGTGACTGCAGCGTCTCACGCTGGTTCGTGAACATATTCAGCTGCTCCTAGAAAAATAGCCTTTCAGACAGGATCCTCGAGTATAATTCTACAATTCTTGATGACCTCAAACTTCTTTCTTTACATAGAGCACGGAATTCTGGCATTAGAAAAAAACCGAATCTGTCGAAGATACGGGGAGAACTAACAAGGGCAAACCCTCCCTTTTCAAAACGGCTTCTCACATATTGTAGGGAACGCATGTATGGATCCCAGATCATGTTTCGTTTTCGCTCAACGGCTCTACTAGTACAAAGAAGTTGTGAAAGATACTGGTGCTGGCTCGATCCCCGGTGGCGACTAAATTTTGCATTAATATTTGGCAGCTACTTTTGGGCCTCAGTATGATCCTAACCATGAACATGAAAAATGATTTTGACATTTAGGCGACTTGACACCTAAAGTAGGCGTCAATATAAAACGCAAAATTTAGTCACCCCCGGGGATCGATCCAGCAACAGTGCCTTTCACTACTTTCTTGTTGCTACAGACACTGTTTAGCGGGGTCGAAAAATGGTACTGTGGTCCAGACAAGCGCCCCAAAGATGCAAGAAACCATTTTGATTAAGCGCGGTTTGCCCTGAAAGACCCCTCCCTAGCCTAGGGGGAGGGAGGTAGGAATTTCGGCGGGAATGAAAATCACAGGAATGCTGGAGTCTCTTCCCTTAGGTCTGACCTGAGCTTTGTCACGATTTTAACAAAGAGGAGATGTTACACGCGGTGATGTGCCTGTAGGGGCCTTAAAAAAGTCTATGAGGTGAAAAATTTCAGCTGTTGACCTATCTCGCCAGCGAGAGATTACGATGGAGTGCGTGTGTAAGCGTGGAAGTACATGCACCAGTGGAAGCAGTAGACAGAGGCCTGAGGAGGCGAGATGTGGCCTTTACGTGGTGGAGCTCAGCTCAGGGTGGATCGGCAGCCCCAGCGCGCTAGTTCAGCGCCCTGGCTGCCGATCCACCCTGCAAGCCTCCGCCTCGACGCCGATGCCGCCCATTGGTGTGTTGGCATCATCACCAGCATCATTTTTCTGATTTTTTAGAAAAGGTCTCTCACTTCGAGCGCATATAGTAACTTCCCAAGAAATGCGCTATCAAACAAAACATAATCTTTGTTGGAATGATAGCGGCTACCGGTTTGACATGTGCAAACGACCTCATTATGCGTTTGGCAGCCTCGTCCATATAGGCGGGTCCGCGGAAGAAAGGGGCTTCATTTGCGCGTTTTAGACGTATTCCTTGCTTTTCCGTCACTGGGGATTATCCGCACCTCACTCACTATGAATGAACCCAAACCTAACCCTTCCGTGATTCCCTCTCATATAAGTCTGCATGTGAAATTCGGGTAGGTGGGGTGAACAAACTATACGTGGCTGGTTTAAGACTTCCTTCTAAACCACAGCTATTGAAATTTCCCACTGTTTTTTTACTTCAGTATTCGCAACTTTCTTTCACTGCCTGCTTCTACCTAATTCATTTATGCAGAGCACATAACCAACAACTTACAGCATGGGAAAACTCTAAGGGTGAAATTTAGTTGCCTGAGAAAGAACGATGAACCACACTCGCACTGATGCAACGCGAATATCGCCAAACAATTCCGAGCCTATTCCCAATAAGCCAAAGCGATCCCTACAACAACAAGCTGATCCCTGCACGCAGTATGTCCTTGTTATGCATCCCCATCAATCCAATTGAAACACTTTACTGTTCAGGTTTCCCATCCGGCTTTAGCTTAATGATGACCCCAAGGACACCACATCAAACAACATAGCCCTGTTTCAAAACCAGTTGATCTAAATGCAACCAAGACAACTACGCTGTTGAATTCTATGGACTAGAAAAAACAAAATGATACTAGTTTGAACTCTGCAGCCCTGTCTGCTAAATCGACCAGTCCCTTCCCATCGAATGATAAAAAAAGCTGAGTCAAGAAGGAAAAGTGGTCTAGTCTCGCTAGTATTTACTGACTGTCAGCAATTTCGGTCCCAGCCCAGTTCCATTCACAGCTCCCTCTATCTGCACAAGCGACATTTCATTGCCTGTAACACGATTAGTAACCACGTCTCTCGTGGGAGATAGCGACTACGGGCGAGAAATGGCATCGCATTTGATAAGTGATGAGAAAGTGTTTCGTCACCATTATTGAATGCTTCTTCTCAAAGCCTGGGTAGCAAATCACAGTGCAGCAGAAAATGGCAAGACCTTTAAATGAAAAACAAAACTTTCTTTGCCTGAACTAATTCATGGCCCTCAGCGATATATTGAACTGAATCAGCCGACAGCAATCAAATATCAAGCTATCACTCACCTTATAATGATGCAGAATATCTTGATCAGCCGGACAGCTTTCGATGAACGCAGCCGTTCGATAAGCCGTCAACACGTAATTCCACAAGTAGGTAAGATTACGAGGAAAGTCGAAACTGAAATAGAACTATTAGTTGCAATCAAAAGGTCGTGCTAAAACTGAATAATTCTCGAAAACTCTAAAAACTTCCGGTCTTCTTTCAAAACTCTCCCTACTCATCGATTTCAAGCTATGACCCGGCCCACGAATGAAGCTGGTTATTCGGACTTTGTCAGAGGGCTGCTTTGAAGGTGCTTCAACTATAATGAGTGGCCATCATGAATGATCGACTTACGAGTGGCAGAGCGTACAATGGAAAGTTTAACCGTTCTGAGATTTTTTCAACCACTGATGGGGTTGTATTTAATATTGATATTGATCATTTTGTAATAACGGAGTGTGACAAGTTAAACCAGACTTCAACACAACTTTGAACTATCGATCATCGATGTGCCATCCTGCACCCATCCGATGAGTGGGCTATAGTGGGGGTTGGGGGAGGGGGCGTGTTGAGAGGTCTGGCAACGCCAAATTTCTCCCGGAAGTGAGTGCTTAACCCTGAGACCTGACCATATAGGGCCACAAGGCCCCAGCTATACTGTACACGACTTGTCCTTCTGCTTAACATAGATAACTAAACTTCCTTTTTGCATAGAAATCTGCGTTGATAACCAAATATTTCACCTTTGTCATATAGAGTAGTCTGTCAAATTGTTATATACGCTAACAAACCTTATTACGGTCAATTTTATTTCAATTCAAACTTAATTAGTTGTCTACTAAATGATTTAATAGCGTATTAAACTCTGATCTTTTCTTCCCTTACTATTGAGCAAAGAGAAAGGACATTTCAATTGTTTAGTCTCCCTCTGAGGGCACGTACAAAACGAAGACCAAACGGCTTCTTTGAATCCATGCCCTTTCAATAAACCCTATATGAAGTTTGAGCAATAATTGCTGACATTGTTGACAAACTCCCGATCAACGCTAACGACTAGCAAGCAATTACTGGATGCAGAAAAAACAAAATGAAGCCTAATCGCCAGATACGGGGCTTTAGTGGTAATGTGTTCAAACAACCACCACCTTTTGTTTAATTTGCGACAAGCCTTGTGCGGAGGAGAACAAGAATCCAGATGCGTGAGCAAGATTTCGCACCTGTTTCCTGCCACCTCCTACTCCAGCCTTGAGGAATGCCGCCACTTTCTTGCCATAGCGGCCAAAACAGTACTTTGTCTAATTTTCTATTAAACATAACATTCCATTAAGAAAAAACGAATGTTTCATTTTTACTGAACCACCTAATTGCCAGTTCACCCCAAACTTCGAAGAGCTTACTTGAGCATTCTCTGTCCAATTATACGCATGTGATGAAGTCTGGGCATCAGTTCACAGTCGTACTCCGTCATGGACGGTCCCAAGAGGTAGCGAGTTTGCCGATCCGCCAGCAGCTTAAATCTCATGTATTCAGCCCTAACAATCACATCAATAGGATTCAGACTTTTTCACAAACCTGATCAATACCAGCTAGTTGCTCTACAACACGATTATAATGAGTCTTGATTTGTGGCGGCAGTGATTCAACGGACGAAATGTCTCGCCTTTCTTTGTCATACTCGGTTTTAGCGCGTAAGAACAGTTTGAAGTTCTGAAATGTGAAACATACAATTCAACTTCAATAATTTTCCCCCTAAAATAAAACCCCTGATTTTTCCTGAACATACCCTGTAAAGACTCTCTATCCGCTTCTCAACCGTGGGATCTTTTTCGAACAGAGGAACACGAAATTCCTTCGCAAGGTGAAAAATTCGTCCTTCAATTTCACGGTTATCCGTGTAGGTCGCCTCCCTGGAATGAGAAAGAATGTTAATGATAACTTAGCCTGCCGAGAGTTAAAAATATCGATGAAAAACGTGTAAAATCAATACTTCTCCTCTTCAATCATAATTGGAGGCTGAGCACCAAGGAAATTCTTCTTGAACGCTTCTGAGTTCACATTTACTGTTTTCACCTGAAATATAGGCTATTCAGTTAAAGCGACCTTTTCAACCTGAGGGAAACCTTCCCCTACCTCAACTCGTGCCACCCCAATCTCGTAAAGTGCATATAGTTCCATCCAGAACTCCTGACAGAACAGACATGCTCCAATCCTTCTGCTATCAATTCCAGATGCCTAAATCGACAAATATGTTGATTGAAATGGAAAAGCGTTGAGCGATCAAAAAATACACAAAGCAAACATATCATTCCGCAAGCGCCGTTATTGGACTATCTACAGTATCTACGGACGGTAACACTGTCAAGAATGTTTGTGAAAGGAAAACCGTCATCGCATTCCAATCTATTATTATGGAGAAGGCATATTGAAGCAGGCAAGGAATGGCCAGTTTTACGAGACATTCTTCATGATTGTATAATAGACATTGCACATCGTCCCGCATATGTAATAGATGATTTAGATTCAACACACGAGTTTCACAGTCGATGTGGCACATCAATATAGTGCCCCTCAAAGTGTAGTGTTCGTAGCAATCACAAGAGGTTAAACTGGAAGACTTCTACTATTCACGAACCCTAGCTAGAGCTGCCAATATCATCCTTCGGGAGCCTTTCCGTCCAACAGCGCAAAACTCACAGCTATTCACGATTGTTACCAACCCTTGACCTTTACCTACCATCCTTGACTATAAATATGGATTATGAACGAGAACTAAAAATTATTTGAACACAAAAATTCGAACGACCGGAAAGTTTTCTTTCGAATGGTTGGCTGGTTACCTTAACAGCAGTAAGCATGAAAAATGAAAATTAGATGTCAAGATTTATTCTACAACAAGCATACTGAGCTTGATCGAACAGAGCGAGAACTATTTTGCAAGTCATTGAAATTCAAACAGCCGTGGTAATCGATGCAGAAAAAAAGCTTCCTATATTAAATATATACGATGTTATGGTTGGCTTAAATTCTGTCAACTTAAAGTCACAATCCGGGATCGACTGACTTTTATTACGACTTGTGTGACAAGGAAGATGTAAACGTAACGCAAAATGGAAGAAATGAAAAAACTCGTGGACAGAGGCAAAAACCAAGTATTTCTCTCCAGAAGCGGCGGAACGAAAGTGGCGCGCATTGTAGGTGGGGTCAATGGTGTGGACGGGGCCAATGCTGCATCCCAACGGCTTAGCACTTGGGGGGTCAAGTAATCCCTATGTTCGGGTATATTTTTTTTCTGAGAAAGCCATTCGAATGCACCAAATCTCGACCTTGCTTTAAGGCACTATCACGATTATTTAATTTGGTTGCTACGCTCGAAACACTCGCAGTTAGAGGTGCGAAATCCGACGCGCAGATAAACAAGAGGATAAGCACTCGCTAAAAATGAACTGCACATGAACCAATTACTTCCACAGTAGTGCACCAGCCTACGAAACAGACTAAAGGTGTTTTTATAGTCGATCGCTCGATCGTAACACAATCGCTGACTATCAGATATGTATCGACGTTCGCTGGTCCGACGCCGACGATCGAGACACGGAAGACTCACCTATCTAGAGCTGTGTGGATCGTTACGATCATTGCGATTGGACGACCGACACGAAAGCGCCCAAAGAGACACTGGGCATCGAGATGAGAAAACAGACTGAGAGACGAGAGACTGTAAGGGACAAACAAGACGTAGACACAGCAGATGCAGCTTTGCAACAATGAGCATGTATAGATGCTGAATGGATGAAAACATGGGGCAAGAGGTGCAGCAAGCCCCAACTCGGGGATGGGTCTCCAAAACTCCGCATCTCTGGACGCTTCCCCTAATCGTGACCATGAAAGTAGCATTTCCAGAAAAGAAACGCAGAGGTTGAGACCCATGCCCTGAATTGAGCTTGCTGCACCCCGGCCCCTGAATGTTCTCTACCGCCCTGCCACGCTCGCTTCTGCTTGAGAAGGGAATTGGACTCAGAAGGGATTTCTTCAGGGTCCGAATCGTGCCTTTAACTCAGTGAGCTATCAAATGGGTCAGTTTGAAAACCACCAAGAAAAGCGCGACCAAAAGAATCAACACGATCCTCTCTCTACAGCAGCAAGCCTTCACTAAAGATTATACTTCCCACTTCTTGAGCTCGTTGGTCATAACATTGCACAAGAACTTGACATTTCCCCTCTTCCCATTCCTTGACATTTTCTGACATATGAGAGATCCCGAGTGGGAAATTGAATCGTCAAGCAAACAAGGGTAGTTTTGAAAAGGTGCTGGCGCTATTGCGGAGCATTACCGTCATCACGAGACAAACACAAGCGCAGGGTTACTACGTATACTCCTTTTCAAAAAACGAGAAGAGTGTCGGGTGCAGACCATACACCACAAGTGACGACGGCCTCCACAAAATGTAATGTTTTCTGCCAATGAAATGATTAGCCTGTTGCAGTTGTATTCTATCAGTTGTCACTAATTACAACTATCATTTACCAAAAATCAGCTATCACTATGAACCACTACTAACCAGATTTACTTGGAGGCCGTCGTCACTTGTGGTGTATGGTCTGCACCCGACACTCTTCTCGGTTTTTAAAGGGAGGGTATGTAACGACGCATAGCATTAGACAAACGATTGTTTCCCTATTAATTCCGCCATCCACACGAATGTCTGTGACGCACATAACGTGTCGCATTCGTTTTCCAGCGAAAGAATCTCCAATTCCTGATATTCGTAACAACGTCAACTGACGTCATTTTTGCACCGATCACTTCCTCAACGTTGCACACAACAAATGCTTTCTTATGTCTGAAGACTCGCATTCAAGCGCCTCTTGTGAAGCGCTTGTAGAATGAATGCAGGTTAAGCAAGGGCACTCTTATTTGCTTTGCAGGGTCGTGCTAAGCGGTGAGGACAGCACAGAATTATCGACGCCCTATCAAAAATCGCGCCCCCATTATCAGCTCATAAGAAATTCTGTACAGCAAAAGCCACAAGGATGATGACGTCCATATAGAAACTCTGGAACACGCTGTATTACATAGTAGCCGGCGTCAGACTTTGCGAATCGAG